TCGCTAGAAAGAAGGAAAAGAGTACTAAACGGCTATGTGATATCTGTCTTCCTGGATGGCAGTGAATGTTAGACGATCTCCTCAAAAATGGAGACGTGATTATACTGTGGACCGAATATGTGAGCAACGGCGAAGTTTTAGAGAAAATGGAAACAAAAAGAAAACTAATATTTAACATCAGCAAGAGACAGTTGAGGTTTAACGGGCACATAATGAGGAAAGAGGGCTTGGAAAATCTGATACTCACAGGACTGATTGAAGGCAAGAGAGACGTAGAAAAAAATACTTAGTGAGAATGAGCAAATGGATGGAACAGGGTTTACGAAAAATGACAGAAAGACAAAGGTTATTAAGTGCTACAAAGAAAAAGAAAGTTGTGGAGAGTCATGTTCACCTATGTCCTGAGGAACACGGCACATAAAGAAGAAGAGTGTTTTCTCCTTACAGCTTATAATATTTACAGTGGGCTATGATAAGTTTTTAGCCACCATTGGTTACAGCAATTTTGGCTTGTTTAATAACGTCTCTTTTTTCAGACAATACCATGTTAGTATCAAGAGGAAAAGAACGCATAGCATCCTTAGTAAGCTTGAGTAAATGGATAGAAGAAATAAAAGAAAAACAATGAAAGAAGGATTGGGAAATCTGAAACGATTCTGAGAGAAATAGAAGTCCTACTAGGATTTATTATTGATGGTCACAATCATAACGACATAAGGTATGCAGATAACACATTGTGGATAACAGGAACAGAGAGAAAACTACAAAAAACTTCAACAGAAGATAGTGAAGGAAAGCGAGAAGAAAGGATTAAATATCAACTGTAAGAAGACAGACTGAATGGCTGTTAGCAAAAGGATGATTATAAAGTGCGAATTCCAAATCAGAGATACCAAAACCAAACAAGTGCAGAAATTTAAATACAGGGAAAATGTTTTAACAAAGGACGAAAAGTGTGACATTGGAATCCGAATGCGTACTGGGATCACCAAAGATGCCTTCCAAAAGCTAAGCAGAGTACTGAGAAATAGGAAAATTTCGCATAGGTAGTAGGGAAGCTAAAAAACTGGAAGAGTCTTCCACAGCTGAGAGAAATCGTCTGGCACGACACAGAAAACGTGAGACCAAGATTGTACAATGAGCTGTTCTTTTGGAGGTTAGCATCAGCCATACTAATGAACGGTATGAATTGTTCTCTATGATGATTAAAAGAAAACAGTTTTATTTTGGAGGCTTTAAAATTTACAAGCCAATACTTAACCCAATTAAGAGCAGCTTGGAGGTCATTTTTGAGAGCAGCAATCAGTTTTAACCTTTGTCGGGCCTATTATAGTTACAGGATCAAATAGTTATATCATCAGAATAATTACCTATGACACCAGGAAAGTCGTTCATGGAGATAAGAAACAAGGTAGGTTCAAGGATAGAGGCCTGTTTTAATGGGAGGCACGGTGGAGTAATGGATTAAGGAATCGGAGAGCCAAGTTCGAATTACGGTCGAATCCATTACATTCACTTACGTGTTAATACCCTTGGGAAAGCTATGGGTAAATTGGCAGGAAAGACCGGGTTCTATAGCCTTGGATGGCAACTGGTCTACCGCAGAAAGAAATGGCAACCTACTTCGTGAAAAAAATCTGCCTCGTCAGTCATATTTTAAAAAAATACATGACCGCCTAAACTGACTGATTAATAGTTTGGTTCGGTTTACGGCATATCAACCTGAATGGGTTATTTAATGACAAGATTTTTATTGTTGGTAATATTTTTTTAAATGTATTGCTGCTAATATTTTTTTTTTTCGAAAAATCGATTACTAGGTAATACTTTTTTCTTCAAAAATGTATTGCTGGTGATATTTTTTTCAAAAATGTATTACTGGTAAGGATATTTTTTTTTTTACCAAAATGTATTGCTGCTATTAAAACCTATTTTTACACTTTCATTACACTTTTTTTTTGTGTGTGGGGGAGTTAACTATTTGTCCATTGCTTAGACCCTTACAAATGCTACAACCCCGGGTCAGGGAGTACCTGGGAACACCAGCAATTAAGAGGTGGTTCCATGCTCCTCAAAAATTCCTGATCAGAGGCTGTTGTATGTAGTATATCGTCTTACCCAGGACGCGGATGTAGTTTATCGTCTTACCCAGGACGCGGATGCAGTTTATCGTCTTACCCAGGACACGGATGTAGTTTATCGTCTTACCCAGGACACGGATGCAGTTTATCGTCTTACCCAGGACACGGATGTAGTTTATCGTCTTACCCAGGACACGGATGTAGTTTATCGTCTTACCCAGGACGTGGATGTAGTTTATCGTCTTACCCAGGACGCTGATGCAGTTTATCGTCTTACCCAGGACGCGGATGCAGTTTATCGTCTTACCCAGGACACGGATGTAGTTTATCGTCTTACCAAGGACGTGGATGCAGTTTATCGTCTTACCCAGTACACGGATGCAGTTTATCGTCTTACCCAGGACACGGATGTAGTTTATCGTCTTACCCAGGACGTGGATGCAGTTTATCGTCTTACCCAGGACGCGGATGTAGTTTATCGTCTTACCCAGGACGTGGATGCAGTTTATCGTCTTACCCAGGACGCTGATGCAGTTTATCGTCTTACCCAGGACGCGGATGTAGTTTATCGTCTTACCCAGGACGCGGATGCAGTTTATCGTCTTACCCAGGACGCGGATGTAGTTTATCGTCTTACCCAGGACGTGGATGCAGTTTATCGTCTTACCCAGGACGCTGATGCGGTTTATCGTCTTACCCAGGACGTGGATGTAGTTTATCGTCTTACCCAGGACGTCAATGCGGTTTATCGTCTTACCCAGACGCGGATGCAGTTTATCGTCTTACCCAGGACGCGGATGTAGTTTATCGTCTTACCCAGGACGTGGATGCAGTTTATCGTCTTACCCAGGACGTGGATGCAGTTTATCGTCTTACCTAGGACGGTCTGTATTAATGTGAAATGATATAAAAGCGTAGCAGTTCAGTAATACAAGAATCAATTGAATTTTAAATATATGAAAAAATTTGGAAAACCTTTTTCAAATTTTACCATTAGTTATATGCGTTGAAAGCCAGAGATGTATTCATTTATACCTAGCTGATTTTTTTTTTGTCAAGTGGACATGACACAGTCCTTCATCCTCCAAGTCAAAACCACTGCCGATATCTTCCAGCTTGAAGGCTCGGTTTGGTCATTACACGGCCGTTAATTCCATCGGAGGAACCTGCCGTTGACTTCAGTTAAAAAAGCCCTTCGCCAATCAATGTCGTGTCATTATCTCATGGGTTATACTGCCGGTTATTCAGTGTAAGTGTACAAATTTACCATGTAGTCGGTCGAAATTCGCTGTTAACCGCTGAATCATTGGAAACACTACGCATTGAATTGCCCACATAGTTCAGTACCAGCGGCAATAAACTGTTTTTTTTTTCAGCTTGACAATAGAAAATGAAATTAATTTAAAACGTGCACCTTGTCTATTTTTCTCTTCACATATTGCTCTGACTAATAACTGGTTTCCATCGATGATATTTAACCTCTGGGGAATCTCCTACATTCTAATATTGGCCTCCATACATCTCAAACATTCCATCTCTTAAACCGGTTATGTCGCCTAGTGTATTCCATTGTGCTAGATGACCTTTATCAAATCTTGACCCCTCACACATCTGTAGCTTTCCTTATGAATCACTTAAACCGGCTATGTAGCCTAGTTTACACCAGAAAACCATTGATTCAACTTGATGGCTGTTACTGTGAAACGTACTGTTTAACCTATACTTGTTATTGTAGGCATTGGAGTGAGTCGATAAGTTGCGTCATCATTTCTAATTAGTTTCATTAAATAACGTTAGAGTTCACGGAGATACATTTTCAAACGACCGACGGAGCCATCACGCTAAGAACTTGCAAGAAAAAGTGACCGTTAGAGACACGTCCGACGACATTATGCCTCGCTAAGGTTCCTGTTGATGATAGTTGCTCGGAAACGAGGAAAAATGGCGCATCCTATTTGACTTCCTACAAGGAGAACTCCGAGAATAACAGGCAAGAGCGACGTATCCAGGAAGGATATGACTCTGTAGGTAAAAGAATAGAAATTCATGTTTACAGTCGGGAACAGGCGTCAGGATCAGGAGCAAATCGCGCAACTAGATTAATTATTAGTATTAATGGATTTTATTATTAAAATGATGATGATTTATTATTAAAATGATAATGATTATTATAAGTAAATTAAGTAAGGTATACTTCATTTCTTATGTTTGTAATCTTGTATATGTAATTCTACATGAGGATGCTGGGAATATCATGGAACGAACTTAATTTCATTCTTACTCTCCTTTTTTTCTTAATTTCATTCTTACTCTCCTTTTTATTCTTTTCCTTAATTTCCTTCTTAATCTCTTTTTTATTCTTCTTAATTTCATTCTTACTCTCCTTTTTATTCTTTTCCTTAACTCCTTCCTCTCCTGTTTTTATTATTAAAATGATGGTGATCATTTATTAAAATGATGATGATTATTATAAGTAAATTAAGTAAGGTATATTTCATTTCTTATGTTTGTAATCTTGTATATGTAGTTCTACAGGAGGATGCTGGGAATACCATGGAACGAACATGTGAAGGTCGATGATATTCTAGAGGCAAAGTAAACAAAAAGATACTTATACTCGACGTCTGGAAAAGACAGTTGGAATTACTGGGGCATATAATGAGGAAGAAGGGCTTGGAAAATTTGATACTCACAGGGTGGAGGAAAACAACGCACAACCTACCTAGCGAATTTGAGTGAACAGATAGAGGAGCTAGGGTTCTGATCACTCACATAGAAGAAGAATTATAAGTAAAAGGCAAAAAAGAAAATTCAAGTTTTAAAACAAATGCTCAAAACATCGATTTATAATTTGATTAAATTGTCGCATTTCTTCCATAGAACTGTCTACCAGTTCTTTTCTCTCTTTCCTATTAGCCATACGACCATATCACATTGGAATACTGGTTCACATACGATCACCGAAGTTAAGCGACGCCAAGCCTGGCCAGTACCAAGATGGCTGCCCGTTTAGGAAAACCACATGCTGTAAGCTTAGATGTGTGGCTAGTGTAATAGCTCGGAATTTCTAATCGGAGAACCGAGTTCTAATTCCCGTCGAGTTCGTTAAATTCCCATTGTCTATTTTAGTAAGACTTGTATCGCTATATCTTTATTCTAAAAAAAAAAAATTACAATCTAAAAATATTTTCTGGCTTCAAATAACATGCAAAGCCGTAGAAAACGAATCAATCAATCAAATATTTTCTTCCATATCTGTCTATATCTTTGAGATGAGGTATTATGATTACTTACATTATTTAGATTATTCGGACTCTTATCCTCATTTTCACTGCCATATTCACAACGTTTCGGCCGTTGTAAGCTCCGGCCTTCTTCATAAATAACAGAGACATCCGGAACAGGCATAGTACGGAGAACTAGAACAATCTACCGCGGTGGACGAAATAAAGGGTTCAGTTCTAAATTCCAATCACCTGAAGAAGGCCGGAGACGCCGAAACGTTGTGAATATGACAATGAAGATGAGCATAACAGCCAGAATAATATAAATAATTCAAGTAATCATAACAGCCCGAAAATATATCGAAACGTAAATAAAATGAGCATAACGTTCAATAACGAAAATAATCAAGTAATCATAATCATCTCAGACTTATAGAGGCCGAAATGTTGTGAATATGGCAATGAAAAATGAGCGAAACGTTCATAATGAATATAGAGGCCGGAACATTGGAATATGGTAATGAAGATGAGGATAACAGCATAACATTCCAAGAATAACGTAAATAACAGATCGAAACGTTGTAATATGGCAATGAAGATGAGCATAACAGTCCGACCTCATCTCATCTCAGAGATATATAGAGTCTATAGAAAAGAGGAGGATAACAGTCCGAATAACGTAAATAATGAAGAATCATAATACCTCATCTCAACAGTCCGAATGTCATAATGTAAATGATGAGCATAACAGTCCGAATCATGTAAATGATGCAAGTCATCATAATCTCATCTCAGGTTATAGAGGCCGAAACGTTGTGAATATGGCAATGAAGATGAGCATAACATAACTTTCCTGATTCTAAAGGTATTTTAAATAAATTGTATACAGGTTAATTCTTATAGGATAAGCAGAGCGTATCTCGATTCTTAGGAATACACGTCACTGGATAGATTCGCCTTTCGTCCGGTTCATATTCCTCCCAGGTATTTTGAACAGGAGTAGAGGTTTTCTCCTTGTTTCCTGTTTAGTAATGGGTTTTTGGTTCCTTCTCCTAAAGTCATTTCATTTTCTTTCACCCCAGTATTAACGTCTTACTTGGGATGAAATGATTAAAAATGTTATTTAAAAGAAAGAAGAAAAAGTACGCCACTTCTTATGCCAGCTTATGGTGTGTTGCTAGCAGTGGAGTTGAATTCGGCGTTTTCCTTCTCATAGACTGGGTGCTGTCTTGTTCTACTATTTTACCCAGAAATGGGGGAGAGAAAAAATGGAATCGCACTTCTCTCTCAAGGAATTCTAACAGCCTTGGCTGGATCTGTAATCACTCTGTTGTGTTCCCGTCTGTGCATTCTCAAATACCGTTTTCTCAGTAGAGGTGGGGAGAGTAAATATACAGGAACGTAACTGAAAAAGGATTTTATCAAAGAAGATATGAAAAGCCATATTCCTTTTACTCTAATAGTCATAATATGAGCCTAAGAATTTTCGAATATTCTGGAAGAGCAATCAGCCAATCATCGTTTTTATGAGACAATTTGAATTTCTGATGAATGAAACTTCAAATTTGAAAAAAAGAAGCGAATATTAAATATGGACAGAAGTTTCAAGCGCCCGCTTTTTCAAACGCTACAGATTGAATATATTTTGACCGTGTAAATTTCCTTATTCCTTTTATTCTTTTTCTTGTACTTGTTTATTCCTTCTTACTCTCCTTTTATTCTTTTCCTTAATTTCTTTATCCCTTTTCTTTATATTCTTTTCCTTAATTTCCCTCTTAATATCAGTTTTATTCTTATCCTCAATTTACTTCTTCCTCTCCTTTTTATTCTTTTCGTTAATTTCCTTCTTCCTCTCCTTTTTCTTCTTCTCCTTAACTTCCTTCTTACTCTCCTTTTTATTCTTTTCTTATTTCCTTCTCAATCTTCCTTTTATTCTTTTCCTTAATTGCCTTCTTCCTCTCCTTTTTATTGTTCTTAATTTTATTCTTACTCTCCTTTTAATTCTTCTTCTTAATTTCCTTCTTACTTTCCGTTTTTATTTTTCTTTAATTTCCTTCTTCCCCTCCTTTTTATTCTTTTCCTTAATTTCATTCTTACATCCTCTTCCTTCATTTTCTTGTTGACTTCATTTTTATTCTCGTTTTCATCTTTTCCTTGTTATTTTATTTCTCATTCGCATTTCATTTTTCTCCTTGTTAATCTTCTTCTCTTCGTCAGAGATTTTTAGCAATGATGTCAGAAATGTAACCGAATGAATCTACACTTGAACACTTGATTTTACTCACAGAGAAAACTCATCCTTTGTGGGAAGCTTGCACACATTGGCTGAACAACCATAATATTCACTGAGGGAAAAAGGGAAGTTTGGACCTTCTGTTGAAATTCTTAAGCTCAAAAAGAGAAGTGGACATCTAAAATGAAGTCGAAAAAAATCAGATAAGCATAAAAAAGAAATCACTTCTTGAACGGACCTTGAAGAAATCATTCTACATCTTAAAAAGCAGAGCTGGCATCATAGATATTTATCAAGAGACGAAGAATTTCCATATGGATATACAATGGAAGAAAAAGAATTTACATATAAAATGGAAGAAGAATTTACTCAAAAAAAATCGAAGAAGTAATTACCCATAAAAGGAAGAAGATTTTACATATAGAAAGGAAGAAGAATTTGTTAATAGAAAAGAGGAAGAAATTACACATAGAATGGAAAATAAGCTTTTACGCATACACAATAAAGGAAGAAGAATTTGCAAATAGAATAGAAGAATTTACATATAAAATGAAATAAGAAGAATTTATATAACATAGAAGAATAAGAATTTACAGATAGAATGGAAGAGGAATTTACACATAGTACGGAAGAAGAAGAATTTATACATAGAATAGAAGAAAAAGAATTTACACATAGAATGGAAGAAGAATAATTTTCACAGAATGGATGAATTTTAACAAAGAAAGGAAGAAGAAGAATTTACACATAGAATGGAAGAAAAAGTTACACAGAACAGAAGAATTTACGCATAGAATGGAAAAAGAAAAAATTTACACATAGAATGGAGGATGAAGAATTTACACATAGAAAGGAAGAAGAATTTACACATAGAATGGAAAAATAAGAATTTACACATAGAATGGAAAAAGAAGAATTTACACATAGAAAGGAAGAAGAAGAAGAATTTATATATAGAAAAGACGAATAATTTCTACATAGAATAAAATAATAATTTCCACATACAATCGAAGCATAATTTCCACATAAAATGCGTCTGTAAATTTCTTTTCATTTCAATGCATGAGGAATTTCAGATCAACGTTTTCGTTATTTTTTTTAAAAAATTCTCTCTAAAGAATAGAAAAGATCTCTTAGCTGTTAACCTCTTTAATAAATGTTCTTCTTGTTCATTAAATGTCAAAGAATGTTACACTGGGCACACATAGAGTTGGCCACGACGAAAGAAAAACCAGACTGACATAATAGGTTTCCAATATGGCGAGGAAGAAGGTAGGAAATAGGTAGTAATTTATGTCTAGATTATTAGACCATGTGATATACAATCCGCGACCGTAGGAAATGGTTTTCTTGAAAAAGTAACAGCAAATTAGAGGTTATGACTTGAGATCTTAGAAAATATCATATGAAAAATTGTTTCTTATTCTGTTTACTCCCGGGTTTCTCACTCAAATTATATTTTCTTGCACGCATCTAACCCCACCCTGCATTAAACCAGGGACAGAGTTGATTGCTATGTCCATGTTGCCTACATCTATCTATCTATCTATCTATCTATCTATCTATCTATCTATCTTTTCATATATATATATATATATATATATATATATATATATATATATATATATATCTCTGTGTGTGTGTAAAAAGTGGCTAAAACAGTTTTTTTTTTCTATTTAGTTTACATCTAGGGGAATAAAGTTATTTATTTATTTTTTGTGGAAATCACAAAACTTTTCGGTTGCTACCGCAACCTTCGTCAGTATTTGAGATTGAATACACCTTTTTGAACTGGACTAAGTTTCCAATCCATCGGATGCTAACGCCCTCAATGTGAGAATCGTCAATCTTTTGATCGTAGCACTAGATAAAGATTTTTATTGTCTATTTTACATTTTTTTCCACATGTGTCTGTCTCTCAATATATATATATATATATATATATGTGTGTGTGTGTGTTGTGTGTGTGTGTGTTTGTGTGTGTGTATGCATAAATATAAAAGTGAACATTAAAGTCAACACTTAGAGGCGACAGGCTGTTTCATGCTATACGCAATCGTTAGGCCACGACTGAGTCTAGCATGAAACAGCCTGTCGCCTCTAAATGTTGGCTTCAATATTCACATTTATATTCACACACGCCTATCTCTGATATTGAGCACTTTATCTCATAAATATAGCACACCTCAAGAGTATATATATATATATATATATATATATATATATATATATATATATATTATTTATTTAAAAATATGATTCCAAAACGCGACATAAGAAGTCTCATGTTTCAAAACAAGAGCCGAAAAAATTCAATATATATTTTTGGAAACAAAAAAAATTTCGCTTGAAGATGGAACAGAGCTTACTTTATCTCAATTTAATTCAAATAATTATATTGACGTTTTCGGCTCTCGTTTTGAAACATGAGTCTTCTTATGTCGCGTTTTTGAATCATATTTTTAAATAAATAATTATATTTATGCTCTACTTTTGCATCGAGCACTATTTTAAAAAAAATAATAACTAAAATACTAAGGGACTTTGGATTATTTACCTAACCAGTTCCTTCCTA